ATTTGAGAAAGAGTGGTTGAGAGAGAGAGAGAGAGAGAGAGCACATGAGTGGCGGGAGGAGTAGAGGGAGAGAAACAAGCAGACTTCCCGCTGAGCAAGGAGCCTAACACAGGGGGCTTGATCCTGGGACTCCAGAACTGTGACCTGAGCCAAAGGCATATGCTCAATCCACTTTGCTAACAGGCGCCCCTCAATTTAACCAGTATTTTTTGAGCATTTACTAAATGCCAGGCAATCTCCTAGGTATCAAGGATTCAACCCAAAAATTTAACTCAGTTTACTTCCTTTTATTCAAGCATTTTTAAAGAAATAGGATGTTACTGTAATCAGGACTAGCCATTGATCCCTTAAGCAAAGAATGAATCTTCCCAGGCAGAAAAGAAAAAAAAAATGTATTTAAGACACAAGAACAGGTTGTGCAAATCCCAGATATGTGCAAACCATGAAACCTGGCCATGGTTTATCTGGGAGATATTGATGGGTTCCAACAGAAGCTGCCTCCTCAGTGATTTAATCCCCATCAATGTGGCTGTGTTTGTTACCAGGAAGCAAAGACTCAAGTCATCTGTAATCTCTGAGCAAAACAGGCCCACAGGAGAGACTGGCTGAAGAGTTAACCCACTGCAAAAAGCCCACTTTAGGGAAACCACAATGATTTCATAGGCACAAATAATCACTGTAGAGAAGAGACATAATGATATATAGTTTTAAAAGATTAGATAGCAGAGTTCAATTAAAACTGAAGAAAAGGGAGGCTGCAGCTCCCAGAGACCAGTTAGGGGTTTCCTGCAACAATGCAAGGCTCCTTATCAAAGGTGCTAAAAAGAACTTTCTAAAAACGTTAAAGTAATGACCCACTTCATTAAGAACTAATCAAAATCAAAAAGATTACGGCACCTTCACATTTTTGAATAAAAGATCTCCAATGCTTTTTTTGTAAACCAGTACTTTCCTGATTCTGTTACAGTGACTGTCATCCACATCCAATATTAGCCAGTCTATTTCTATTTACTTTCAGGAATTTAGTTTAAGTAAGGTTTAACGATCCCCAAATTATTGGTTCTTAAAGATTAGTATCTAGTTTCACAAAAGAAGGCTCCAACTTGAATAGTTAAAAAAAAATACAAACAAATCTTTTTCTTTAAAGCTGGGATTGTTCAGAATTGAAACGAACACCGTAAGATTTAATTCAAATTGATTTTTCCAGAATGTCAAAAACAGGCAATACTTTTCCTATTCTGCCATGAAACCTCATTCTTTTAATACACAGTTCTAGAACCCTTTCCATCCTCAATCCCCACTTCCCAAACTGTACTAATTCAAGATTCTATAAATAACCAACCCCGGGGGGGGGGGTGGACATTTATGGTCCTGCAAAGAGAATTATAAAAATAATTAATTAAAAGTATAATTGGCACTACACAATATATGTTTAGTAAAGGATTTTACTATGTTAAGGATATGGGAGAAAGATGCTCAAGGCAAATTAGAGCATCTATAGGGTTAGTGTGATTAACTTGTCACATAAATATGTTTAAGACAAAATGATCTAGCACAAAAAACTATTAAAAAGGTCTCCTGCTGACATTTTATCACTAGACATGTCATACTGCTTTTCTTTTGCAGAAAAAAAAAAAAACTACTGAAATTCATTTACTAAGAGGAGCGATATATAAACCTATCCTTAAATAACCCATCCTTTCCATTCACCCAAATAAAATTTTGTCATCTACACTGCATTCCAAAACCAAATAAACAATTGTATCTCACTATGGAATGAAAAATTTTCAGAATATACTTGAGCTTTTACTGAGTATAGTACAAATTATGAATGAATATATTTTATTTAAAACATGTTATTGACAGAAATCTATCAATAATAATGTGAGTATTGTCAAGGGCCTGTCAATATTAATGTAATTATGATTAAGGGGATAACATGGATTTTTAGCTATAATACCAAGTAACATCTCCTACATTGCTGCTATCAATATACACATTATTATTGACCTGTTCCGAGACTCTCAGTACTAGATGTATTACCATTAGGCATATTTGTCAATGCATGCTGCCTACAAAAACTCTACATTTAAATTTACAGTCCTATAAACTTTGTCAGCAGAAACATGCGATTCCCAAGTATTCTCTAAGGTATGCACCCACTGCGAAGCTACCCTTTTCCAGATCTACAATAATCAACCAGTTTTTAGTATAACAATGTTGCTGCCACACTCTCCTGAGGGTTCAAGTAATCAAAACGGATGATACAACACATTAATTTTTTCCTCTTAGGTTTGAAAAAAATTTTAAACTAATGTTTCATATTATGAGGTTATATGAATAAAGTTCTATAACTGGAGATCTTAAGCTTTGAACCTACACCCTACTATTTTATTTCCTTTGTGTAGTCAGATAGATTTACTGTCCATTGTATTGAAATCAATACTAATAAATGGGACATGCATCAAAGAGGGATTTAACAGGACACTGATTCCCAGAACACATTTCAAACATGAGCAAAAGAGAAAAAGCTATGACTGAGACCCATTAGGACACTGTGACCTCTGGCACTGTGAATAGGCCTAGAAATCAACAACTACAAGTTCAAATCCCACTTCTGCCACAGGCTTGCTAAATGACTTGTCACTACTCTTTTGTTCTACTCTTTCATCAAATACAAACTAAGTTTCAAAAGTTTATAGATATCCATTGATATAAATCCCAAATGTGCTCTTTTGGAGACAGACATGTGAAAATTTAAAGTTCTGTAGTAGACGCTAGACTTCTAAATTACTCTTCACTTAAATGTAATCCTCATCAATATCCAAATAGAATTTTTCTTTTTGAGACTGGTAGTGAGTACGCAACAAAATATTTCTAAAATATATCTGAAGCATAAACTTCAAAATCACATAAACTGCTCAGAAAGATGAACAATGATAAATAATTTGCTCTAGCAGATGGGAAGTAAATACATATATATATATAGAGAGAGATTTATATATATTTATATATATATATTATATATATATTAATTTGGAGAGGAAAGAGAACTCAACTCACATACCAGAATCTTCAAGACTATAATTAGTCTTACACAATTGAGCACCCTCCCTATTTCATTTACGATGTACTTATTCAAGTATTTAAAACTAACACCAAAGTTTCCCTCTGGTTTTTTTAAACCTTAAAACAGAATTTCCAATACCTCGGCCTAACTTTACAAGTACATTTTTTAAGAGAAAAGCATGGCACTCATAATCTTTTCTTTCAGAAAGTTGATACTTCTGAGTCTTTAAGGGAGAAAGCATGTTGTGAAAATAAAGAGCAGATGTTTGAGTGATTATAGGGAAAGAGAGTTAAACTGGTCCTGATTAGTTCTGTATCTTAGACCAGCTTCACCAACAGACTGTGTGACTCTAGACAAGTCATTTTACCACACTACACTCTGTAGCAATTAAGAGACTTAAAAATAAATTTAAAATAATCAACTATGAAAAGTCTACCTATGTAGAATCCTTATATGAACTATTTTAAGAAACCTGGAAAGAGGAAGAAAAAAAATAAAACAGACATTTCCAACTATAAAAATGATAATGTTGAACATGAGTGTGAAAAAGGCTAGAGAAAGTAGAGAAATCAGAACAGAATATGTGAGACAGAGACACAATCACAGAAAAAATGAGTAAAGCATCTAGAGGACAATACCCACCAATTTATGAGTTTATGACTATAGTAAATATATACTACTTATCAGTTATCAAACACTAACAGGGACTATCATAGCTTAGTGTCTTTTGCAAAATTGAATATTAAATCATTTCATCCTTACCAATATGATGAAAGAGGTTTTTTCATCATTTATGTTTTAAAACAAGGAAACTGAAGCATAGACTTCAGTTAGCTGACTCGTGTAAAAAATTAACAGAATTACATGTGGTAGAGCTATGCTCTGAACTAGTGTCTTTGATTGACAAGGTGGTGTGGCTCTAAAAGATGAACATAAACACTTTAGGAGGACACAAGACATGCAAATGGGGCTATTTTAAAAGGCTAATAAGCACTAAGAGATTAAGAGCACTGGGCATGAACTACAGCAAAAATTACAATCCAAGGATGACCAAACAAGAGGCACATGAAACACATGAAACAACTAGGTCTTTAAGTACTCTATAAAGTTAGAAAAGGGCTCTAGAACCTAACGAGAGAATTTTAAACGAGTTGCAAATTATTGGCACACATATTGGCCAATAATTGCGTGTTTTATGGCATTCGAGACAACATGGAAATATCCACAAAGGAACAGAGGTATTAGCAATGGGAAAGGAGGAAGTACCATGTGATACATTATTACGTGTGAGGCATTATATTTTCTTCACGTTCTTTATCTCATTTAATCCTCGTAACAGTAAATAGTATCAGGTCCATTTTAAGAAGACAGAAGTTAGGCTTGAGAAGATTAACAACCTGTTTAAGGTCAGACTGACAATCAGTAAATTTCTGGTAAACAGTAGAGAAATTGTGGAACACACAAAGGAAGTTAGTAAGTAGTATGGATATGTGGTAAACTTGGAACCAATTCAATCCCGCAGAGCTCAAAGCAAAATGCTTTCCCTCAGGATCATTCACAAGACCAGACTGCCAGTCAAGCTCCCAGGACTTTGTAAATGGGGAAAGAAAGTAAAGGCATGTGGTAGAGTTGTCCACGTTGCCTGGGATGCATCTTGTCTACATTCCCTCTCCCTGACTCTATCCATGTGGTCAGAGAACCATTCAAAGAGACTGAACGTCAAATCTAAACAAAGGGAATATGTGGGTGAAAAAATGAGGTGTGAACATTCGTTTAACTGTTATGAACACATACTATATGCAAAGTAGAGGCAACACTACTTCAGCTAACGCTAGAAGGGATTCTGTTTTGCAGAATCAAAACAAAATTAGTCTCTAGCTCTTGGATTTTTTAACAGTAAGAAGACAACTTGGATGAAATTTTATCTCACCTTATTGACAGGCAGTTAAGAAGGGAGAGGTCTGGAAAAAAAAAAGAAAACATTAAATAGAATAAAAAGCAATACAGAAAAGGGCATTTTGATTATATAGAGGATCAAAGGTTGAAAAGTTGATTAACAGTGCACAATGGGAAGGCCAGAAGATGCTAGACATTCTCTTTCCTGTTTTTACTTCCAGGTAGAGAAACCACAGTGCTGGCAGTTGGAGAGCCAAGATTACATGGGGCAAACGGAGCAGTACAGAGCTTTTCTCCAGAGGTTTATTCCACATTCCAAAGGAACTGAAGAGGAACATGTAGTGTTTAGAAACTGCTGTCATTTCACAGGATGGAGATAAAGGGGACATCCAATTTGCTTCTAGGTTGCCTAAGATAATCAAGGGAGGGGAAAAAAAAAAAAAGGACCAAGTGATTCAGAGCAGAACTTTTGTCCAGAAATAAAGACTGTGCACATGGCACACATTTTCCTGGTGCTACAAGAACCCGAGCACACGGGAGTGATAGAAAGAGACTTTAAAATTACCTGATGCTGTGACGAAAACTTGGGGCTAACACAGAAATGTACTAGTAATGTGATGTTGAGCAAGACCGTGAACGTCTTTAAGATTCAGTTACTGAATATGTGAAATAGAAAAATATCTGCCCTTTCTATTGTAAAGATTCTTAGGAGCTTCAAAGATAAGCACAGATTTTATGGGTAAAATACCAGGAGAGGAAGAGAGAAAAAATAAAGAAACACGATTCTGATCACAGAGAATTAAATTTGAAGTTTGTATTTATTTAACAAATGAGAAAATATAGATGTGTCTGTGGCTTGAAGTAATGAATTAAGGATGGCTGTATCTTTTACTATTAAAGAAACTTACCAATTGAATGAATGCACACTGGATACAAATGAGTAATTTCCCTAAGAAACAGAATCATAATGCTAGAAGTAAACACAGGTCATCTAGTCTAAGATATAAATTTAAATTTCCTAACAGAAACACTGTGTTTCAAACAGAACACATAAAATAGCTGCCCTGGTAAAATATCGCTGAGTGTCGGCTGGCTTTCTCTCCCTTATGTGGCTTCAGGAAATTTCTAGAGGAATTCTTCCTCAGAACAGATTTAGAACCACAGACTGAATGCTACCCCTAATTTTTAAAAATGAAGAGAATAAGGCCACGAGATTTCAAAGGAAACCAAAGTCCATTCTCTTGACTCAGTCTCCTACTCTCTATGGGCTGTTACTTCCATTTTCTTCCTTTAAGGGGGAAAAAAATTAGATATATATATAAATATATATATATTTTATATATATATATAATAGATTGTAAGAACATAAAAAATAATAAGACATATATATGGGTTGTGGAGTTTTTTTTTTTTTTTTGGCTTATATGGGTTGTGGGTTTTTTTTTTTTTTTTTTGGCTTTGTACATAATTCCATTCTCTCTAGTTCTTTCGTCTCCTCCTGATTCATGATCATCCAACTCTGATGTTTCTGGATGCAAGTAATTGGTAACACGGGCAAATCAGAGAGAAGATAAAGTGAAAAAAGAAAGTTTATTTTGTTTAGGTTTAACTAAAGATAACACAGTAAGGGAAAGACGTTTGTTTAGACCGCAAATTGTGGTGTGGATAAAGCCTCAACCTCTCTGTCTGTAATCGCTCGAAATCGTTAAGATCAAAAAAAAAAAACAAAAAACAAAACAAAAAAAACAAAAACACCTCTCAAGGGGTGATCGCAGAACATACTAGACGGGGACGTCCAACACGTTGGTTTCGGGAGAAGCTCTTTCACGAAATGCAGTATCTTTGGAAAACGGGACCTCAGGAAATAAGTAAAGGACCCATGACTTTTCATTTAAAGCCCCAACAGGAAAAAGAAAAAAAAAGAAAAAAAACACAAAACACCTCATTCTCACACTCGGTCATCAGAAACCAACGTCAGATACGCCAACATCCCCAGCGGCAATTCCTCCGCGAGGAAGAACGAGAACCGCTTCCAAGGTCGCAGCGTTCAGGGATGCTAGGAACGAGAAGCCTCCTCTATTTTCGTACCACACCGAGCACCTGACGCGAGCCCCGCGACAGTCAGCAGGGAGGGCGCCGCGTCCCGTTTAAGCCACTTCTTGAGAAGGAAACCTCCCCGCCGCCCAGGCCGCGGGGAAGAGTGGGAAAGCGCCTCACAAAGTCACCTCGCGGAAGGCGCCGGAGCTCAAGGCTGCAGCTCTGTTGGTCTTTTTTTTTCTTTTTCTTTTTCTTTTCAAGGGTGCGATTCTAAGGCCATTTTTGAGGACCTCGGGCCTGCTCCCCCGCCTTTCTTCCAGGAACACGGGGGACGGAAGCGCGGCCAGGGGCGACGGCCACCGCGGCGTGACCCTCCACGCCCCCCCGGCCGCAGGCAGGACCTCGGCGCTGCCCTGCCGCTCTCTCGGGCAGACACTGACCTGACGAGTCTGCGGAACGCCCCCGGCCCACGTAACTTTCTCTGAAACATTCTCCGGGAAGCTCGGCTTCTCCGAGCAGAACCGGGATTACCCAGGCTTCCGGGACGCGCGGGCTTCCGGAGCGACGCCGGACCCGGAAGTGTCTGAGGAAAAAGGGGAAATTAAACGCGGACGAGCGGAGCTGTGCGCCGAAGAGCCGAAGGGCCGAGGGCGAGGGCCGAGGGGCCGAGGGGCCGAGGGGCCGAGGGGCGAGGGCCGAAGAGCCGAAGAGCCGAAGAGCCGAGGACTCTGGCGCGCGGTGATTGGTCGGTTGGCCGCTCTGAGGAAAGCGCCTCTGATTGGCAGGCCCGTCGCGAACCCGGCGGCCCCGGGTCGGCGCCGCGCGTGAAGAGGCCTCGGTGTCAAGAGGCCGCGGGGAGGCCGGGGCCGCCCGAGGGCGGGGTGTTCCCTGCCCTGGGACGGCGCGGCGTGCCGCGGGACAGGCGCCGCCGAGTGGCAGCGGGGCGCCTCCGCAGCCCCCGGGGTGGACGGCGCCCCGCGGGCGGGCCTCCTGGGGAGGGGGCGCGCCCCTGGGCGAGGGAGGCGGCAGTTCCGGGGCCCGGGCGGCTCCGCGGCGCGTGCGTGCGGAGGCCGGGTGGCGGGCGGACCTCTGCAGGCCGGGGAGGCGCCCTGCCGGCCGGGCTCGGCGCGCTCGCACCCGGGGTGGGCGGTGGGCGGTGGGGTGGGGTGGGGTGGTGGCGAGCGCCTGGGTGCAGCGGGGTCCGCGTGCGTCACCCCGGAGCAGTTAAAACGCGGCCTGCCCGGTCGCCCACCCCTGGGCAACTGAGTCTGGCTTCCAGGCCTGAGGCCTGAGGGAAGGTCGTCTCTGAGGTCACCGGGCAGTGCAGCTGCGCGATGCCATCCCCTTCTGCAGTGTGGACCGCCGCCGTGTCTTGCCTGGAGGCTGGCCCTAAGCTTGCAGGAGACGTAGGTAACTCGAGGGACGTGCACATAGTAGGGCTTAACTTCGTGGTGGTTGCCTCATGGTTCCCCCCCCCGCCCCCCAGCTGTCTTGTTACCTGTTCCAGAGCCTATCCTGCGGAAGCGGTATTACAAGACAGATTTAAAGAATATTTTATTAATTTTTCATGAAAGAGACACACAGAGAGAGGCAGAGACACAGGCAGAGGGAGAAGCAGGCTCCATGCACCGGGAGCCCGACGTGGGACTCGATCCCGGGTCTCCAGGATCGCGCCCTGGGCCGAAGGCAGGCGCTGAACCGCTGAGCCCCCCGGGCTGCCCTCAAGACAGCTTTTTTCTGTCTTTTTCAAAATAATTTTTCTGAGGAACAGAGTTGTGACCCAGAATATGAAACAGTGTGGATAAAAGAACATTTATTAATGAATTTTAGGACTGTTCGAATTCTTTTTTTTTTTTTTTTTTTTTTACCTCAAAGGTGTACAATTTAACATATTTATACCTGCAGTTTTGTCGTCTTCCATACATGGAGGAGATCTTGGAAAAAGCAGACCTAAGAAGGGTGATGTTGATGGTTTCCCGTATTAGTTAAAAAAAAAAAAAAATGCTTCCCAGTTCGTGAACTAACAGTCCAGATGAGATGGAGTAGTAGCGACAGGAGGGGAGGTTTTTCTAGAGCTGCGGTTGGCACCTCAAGTGTGGGTCCGCCAAATTGAGGCACATTGAGGTAAAATGCACACTGCATTTCTAGGATATAATACGGAAAAGAAAGAATGTCAGCTAGTTCATTTTATAGTGGTGACATGTTGAAATGAGGATGTTTTTGAAAGTTTAAGATGACATATGTGGCTTGTTGCATTTCTGTTGAATGGTGCTGTTCTGGAGGGTAAGAAAATCTTTTTGAGGAAGACCAAGGCTTTCATTTAGTAATTGTGAGGGAAGGTGGCCATGTTGGACTTCTCAGGTAGGCCAGCAGATATAACTTGCTTCATTTAATTTTTTATGTAAGTGGGGGAAAAAAAAAAGTACCCCCAAAAGAGTAATATAGAAGACATTTTCAGAAAGCAAATTCTAAGTCATGGAACCTTATGTATTGTCACATGAACATCACAATAGCTATTGATAATAATAAATGTACCAAGCTAACAAGATATTTGAATTCTTTTTAATGAATCTGATTAAGAATGTACAGCATGCAGAACATTTGAGATTTTTGTTGAAAATGGTTAAAATAAGCTCCAACTTTTAACCTCTTGATATAATATACCTCTTGAGTTTTCCAATGAGATAGTAAACTGAGATTTCAGGAAAGCTTTACTTCCAATTTTCTATACTTAATTTAAAAATGTATTTGTTTTTCATTCATTTATTTAACAGAAGCCTGCTGGGGGGCCAGGAATCTTGCTAACCAGTGTCGACGTAAAAGTGAACACGCAGACATGCCCTTACTCTCTGGAAACTGATGAGTACCAATTCAGAGACAGTGAAGAAGCAAATAACCATGGCATAGTGTATTTGGCCTTTGAGTGTTTTACCTCTATAAATGCAACATGTTAATTGCTTAAACCTAGAAATTATAAATTCTTGTCAACATGTTGATGAAGAGTCTTATTGGAACTTGGCTATGGGCTTAAAATATATTAGTTGAAAATCAGAGTATAATTAATGCATTAATTATGAGAACTTAAAAAAATTATAGTATTTCTTTAAATATAAAGAAAAGAGGAAAATAATTATAATAGCATATTATTTATAATGCTTAGGTTCTAAGGAATTTAATAATAGAAATGTAAAGGAGACATTGATTTATGCCCCTAACATAGTTTAAAATTGCTGACTTTAAAAAGTTAAATCCATTTTAGCATATTACATAGTTTTTAAATCAATATATTTGAGTCTTTTAGGAAAAAGTTAAACACAGACCTTATGTTAGTTTGCTACTGCTGCTGTAACAACTTACCACAAAGTTAACAGCACAAAACAACAGCAATGTATTGTCATACAGTTCTGTAGTTCAACTAAGAACTCATGGGCCAAAGTCAAGGTGTCCACAGGTCTGTGTTTCTTTCTACAGGGTGTAGGGAAGAATTTGGCTTTTTTTTTATTCAGGTTGACGGAATCCAGTTCCTTGCTCTGGTGGTATTGGTTCCATACTAGCTCATCAGCTGAGGGCATGTTCCCAGCTTCTACAAGCCATCCATATTTGGGTTGTGGCTCTCACCCTCTTCTTCAAAGCTGGCATTGCTGGGTTGAGAGCCTCCCATCTTTCTGACTTCTCATGCCTTTTCTTCAGTTGCTTTCTCTCTAATTGCAGTCTTTTAGGAATCTAATTAGATTGGACCCACCTACATAATGCTGGATAATCTCTTCATCTCAAGGTCCATAACCTTAATCACAGCTGCCAAGTCCCTTTTGCCATGGTAAAGTAGATATTTACAGGTTCCAGGGATTAGGGCATGGACATTTTTTAGAGGCCATTATTCTGTCTACTACAGATCTTAATTGGGGCCATGCAGTATATACAATGCTTCTTACCAGTATTCTCAGTACTTTAGGGTAAAATAATGTTGATAATAACAAGTAAATTTTATCAGATGTGTAATATGTTCTAAACTCTTTTTCTGCATTATTCATTTAGTCCTTAGAAGTGCCCTAGGAGACAAGCACTATTATTATTCCCATTTATAAATAGGAAGATAGTTGCAGAGGAGGGGAAGTCCCATAGCTAATAGGTAGTGAAATGAGGATTTGAACTTACAGTCTGGTTTTGGCACTTCTGAGTGCTTTGAATCTCAACATAGTAAAAAATTAATTCTGAATGTCTGGATTTACTAAACATGGTTAGTAATAATAGTGACAAGTTCAGGATTTGGCACCACAATGTCTGGATTCAAATTCTACCTTTACTAGTTCCTGGATGAACCTGGAAAAATTATTCAATCTCTGTGGGTCTCACTTAACAATAAACTGAATTAGTAATAACACTTGAGGATTAAATGAGGCCCAGTATGAATAATACTTTGAATAGTGCCTCCTCAAAGTGAGCTATTGCTAGCTATAATTATTGATGACAACTCAACATTTAAAAACATTGTTAATTGTAAAAAGAAATGTTTCCTTTAGGTAACTTCAGGCTCTTCATAAATTTTTATAAAAAAATTTATGAAAAAAATTTTAAAATATTAAAACTAAAAAGAAATTTTTAATTAAAACTTTTAATATACCACAGTGCTATCTCCTTTCTCAGACACTGATTTCTCCCCACTCCAGTATGCCTTCCATCTTTCTAGCACTTTCTACTGTTATCTGATTGTATACTGTAAACACCTCATCCAGACTCTACTTGCCCAGGTTAATGTCCAAATGACTTAGAAGGGCAGCAGGACACAAAATCCAAATTCTCCCTTTCAGCATCCGTTAGCCTAGTATTTACACAGCCATCACTGCTAAATTCTTACTCTTCTCTTTTGCTATTATTATTCCTTGAAGGAGGCTCATGGGTGTAAAGAGGGAAGGGAGGCCCCTGGCATACCCTGGATCCCTGTCTCAATGCCTTCTAATATCACTCTAAACCCTACCCTCTCTTCTAATAATCTCTGCTGCCACTGCCTTATTTCAAGCTCTCATCATCTCTTCACTTTAAGCCATTCCTAGCAAATCTGTGGCCTCTAGCCTAAGTTTCTTCAGGCTTAATCTCTTCCCTGCTCACTAGAGCGATCTTTCTCAAGTACTAAACTCACAGGTTACTCTGTTACTCTCTTTCTTCAAACCCCATGCCCCAGTTCCTGTAAAGGTTATTCTTTTTCCTGTGTCTCTTAGCACCAGTTAGGTGCTTCTACTGTAGCATTTAAGATAATCACAATTGTTTATATAAGTGCTAGCCTTTCCTTCTAAATCATGAATTCATTGATGGGGAATAAGCGATGGTTTTGGAGGCTCCTGAGTGGCTCAGTAGGTTGGGTCTCTGACTCTTGGTTTCTGCTGAGGTCATGATTGCAGGGACCTGGAATTGAGCCCTTGTGGGGCTCTGCACTCACTCCGTGCAGAGTCTGCTTGTCCCCTTTCCCTCCCCTTCTGCTCCCCCCATGTTTCTAAAAAAAGAGATAGTCTTGCTGGAATGAATTTATTATATTATTTTTGTCATTATCTATTTACATATCTGTCTCTTGTCACTTAAAGTGTGAATTCTTAAAGGGGAGGCTCATTG